GGCGGGAATACTGTTCGGTACGCGGGAGCGCGAAGACGAGTCGAACGCCAAGCAAGCTAAGGCGGGCCGCGCCGAAGCAAAGAAAAAAAACAGCGAAGCGAGCGGCGCCCGGCTCAGAGCGGAACTGGGCTCAACGCGGATGGCGCGGGAGGCCTCACAAAACGGCACCGAGGTCACGCCCACCGAAATTCCAACGAGGACGCAGGTGCGGTGTGGGAGAGCGACCACGCACATGGAAAGTCGGCAGCTCGGGCTCCCCAGGACGCACTTGCCGAAGAAGGCGTCCAAGAAGAACCGGCAGTCACGAACACCAAGCAAACCACGCGGCAGCCAAAACGGCGAGAGAAAACTGGAGTGATTAACATACTCTCCAGGCAAGCTTCTCGAACTCGAAGCGCCAAGAAACGACAAGAATTTTCGGAATACAAGATTCGAGACCGTTCCACCATCTCATGGATTTCTTTGGGCGTGGCGCGTGACTTCCCGGGTTGGTGGCGTGACATTCCATGAGGGGCAAGAGGCTCCGAAGAGGAGCCCAGGGCGGTCCAAAGGCCCTGTCTACAGACGGCCCAAGAAGCCTCCAAGATGCCCTGAGAGAGCTCGTGAGCCCCTCAGGGGGCCCTGAGAGACCAAAATCACTGAAAACGATCGCGCAAGACACTGTTGGACTCCAGAACGCCCCAGGAGGCCCAGGAGGTCTCCCAGGATCGCCCGAAGACTGTCGAACAGGACCCTAAGGGGGGCCCAGGACGGCCCAAGAGGGGCCCAAGAGGGCCCAGACGTTCCCCCAAGATGGCCAAAGAGGGAAGCGAAGGGGGCCATGCGATCACACATTGGCCCTAGGTCGGGCATGTCCTCCTGCAGGCGGATTTTGAACGAAAAATACAACATAGCCAAAAAAAGCTCCAAAATAGTATTTGAGAAGAATAATAAGAATAAGAATAATAATAATAATAATAATACTTTTCTCTTTTTTTTGTATATAAAAAAAAAAAAAAAAAAAAAAAAAAAAAAAAAAACGGACTACGTTTTGACTATTCCCGAATATGCCTCCTGTAGAAGGACGTGCCCGACTTACATAGTGCCCCCAGGACGCCCATCGTGCCCCGCGAGAGCCCCCAAGGTGCCCCGGAGCCTCGAGGGCCCCAGGAGATCTCCAAGTGGCGTCGGCCCCGCAGAGGCTCTCAAGAGTCTCATCGGGCAAGGCCCTCAAAAGGAATGGCAACAGACCGCAACAAGTACAGTCGGGGCGTTGACCTAAGGAACCCTGAATAAGGAACGAGGCCCCTTCTTTCCACACGTTGAACTTCGATTTCCGATCGAAAACCCAAGGACAACCTAAGGCAAACTGTGAAACGATCAAGGAACACGTAGCCCCTGACCAACGAAAAGGGTTCCTTCTTCAGCGCCCTGACTGTATCAAAGGAGCAGCTGGCCCACAACCCAGGCACGGTGCTGGGAGAGAAAGCTCTGCGAAATTCGGCCCAGCCTGCCAGCCACCCCCAAAAGAAGCACTGCATCTACTTGTCCGTCCAAGATGGCCCTAAGAGGGCCTCCAAGAATGCCACGATGCAATCAGATGCCCTCCTAGATGTCCAAGACGGCCTCCAGTCTGATAACATTGCCCTCTGAGGCATCCAGGACTGTCCAAAACCTTTCCAAGACGGCTAAGATGGCCCCAACACGGACAAAGATGGCCTCCAGGACGCCCGAAGCTGCCTCCAAGAGGACTCGTGTTCAACAGTTGTGTCGTTTTCACCATCGAGAACGTTCGACAGCCTCAGATAGTCCACGATGTCTCCGAGATCGCCCCAAGATGTACCAATAGGCCCCAAAACAGCGAAAGGGTACGATGTGGTTTTCAAAACTGCTAGTATGGCCAACAAGTCTGCCAATATTGCGCCACCACCATCACCAGCATCAGCATCACCACGACCACCATCAACATCATCATCATCAGCATCAGCATCATCATCATCATCATCATCATCATCATCATCATCATCATCATCATCAGCATCATCATCATCATCATCATCATCATCATCATCATCATCATCATCATCATCATCATCATCATCATCATCATCATCATCAGCATCATCATCATCATCATCATCATCATCATCATCATCATCAGCATCATCATCATCATCATCATCATCATCATCATCATCATCACCACCATCATCATCATCATCATCATCAGCATCACCATCATCATCATCATCATCAGCATCATCATCATCATCATCAGCGTCAGCATCATCAGCATTATTATCAGCTCATCACCATCATCATCATCATCATCATCATCATCATCATCAGCATCATCAGCATCATCATCAGCATCATCAGAATCGTCGTCGCCGTCGTCGTCCTCGTCGTCGTCGTCAGCGGCATCGGCAAAAGCATAATCAGCATCATCATCAGAAACAGCAGTATCATCAGCATCATCACCATCACAGCCACCACCACCACCATCAGCATCATCAATATCAGCATCGTCAGCTTTAGTATCATCAGTAACAGCATCATCAACAGCATCAGCATCATCATCACCTGTACCATCAGTATTATCATCATCAGCATCATCAGCAGCATCATCAGCATCGTCATCGCCATCACAATCACCATCGCCATCGTCAACATCATCCGCATCATCATCAGCAGCATCACCACCAGTATCAGCATTATCATCAGCAGCATCATCATCAGCATAAGCATAAGCATCAGCATCATCAGCAGCATCAGCATCGTCATCATCAGCATCATCATATTCATCACCATCCCTCTCCTGGTCGTTCCTCTCTTCCTCCCAAGCATGTTCCCCCAATGGTGTCCAGAACGGCTGGGGAGGGCACAGAATCCTGCAGCTTGGCCAAGCGTTGGCTCAACGGTTGGCCACGCCTGCACTGCCAGACAGGCAGGGGGGCGACGGTGACTCGTCGTCAGCGTCTTCGATACTGCCGACGAGTCTTCAGGCACTTCTGGAGCGTCTTGGCAACATTCGGTCTCCTGCGGCCCCGTGGGCCAGATTCGTGCCCTGTGGGGGGGGGGTCGCTTGCTTCGTCTTGGTGCCATCTGGGGGCAGTCTTCGGGCCCTCTTCGACCGCATTGACCTCTCCCATTTCTTCTTGGGTCAGTTTCTTGGAACTCTCTTCGGGTTGTCTTGGGCTGTCTTGGGGTCCTCTGAGGTTGCCTAGGAAATGTCGGGACAACTACCATCGCCCCCTTAAGCCCGAAAAGCCTGCGAAAACAAAAGATTGGGCATCCTTTACCACCGCCACAGGCGATCGTCCATTCACGCAGCTGCCACATCTGACGAGCCTCCGACATTCGCAGAAGGAATATGGCACCGTGACCGCAAGCAGTCACTACCGCCAGACATGTCGTCTCAAATCGCTGGCACATCAGATGGACAAAGGGGTCATGTGCAATTACGCCTACAGGCCGATAATGCAATTTGAAGGACAACGCGCAATACAGAGAAAATACAGATAGTGTTCAAAGCCAACGCGGATTTGCGGTGATAGGAAAGGCCAAGAACTCCGATCACACTGAGTTATGATGGCCTCCTGGGTCTCTAGTGGCAGGAGAGCCCAGAATCGAATCGATAAATCGGATCGGCGATCGAAATGAACCGAACCTGCAGAAATCGGCAGCCGATTTAGGAAAAAGTCGAATCGGCGGAAATCGGCGGGCTCGTATGCGTCCAATAAGAAATCGGAACCCGAATCGGAATCCCAAGTCGAATCGAATCGGAACCACCGAAATCGAATCGAATCGAATCGGAGGAATCGAAACGAGCCCTGTAGTGGGCCGTCTTGGCGCCCTCTCAGGCCGCTTCGGAAGCTCCCAGGACGACGCCAAGCTGGCCCCTGCAGTGCTCCAGCAACGTCATGGGTGACCCCGAGAGGCCCCATTCCGTATACGTGTGCACAAACGCTGTAGGCACGCTGGGGTGTGTGTGAATGCTTGTTGTTGATTGTCTGGCGTGCATCGCAATCCGAATTGCAATCGTAGCCCGAAAGTCAAGCCCTGCTTCCACTGTTTAACCCGATTGCTGAAAATAAGTCTCAGGAGAGGAATTCCGATAAAAAAAGGAGCCAGTCCCTTCCAAGGTTGCACCCTGCCCAAATTTGACGACATCAGCAAGCTCTGGCAACACGAAGAGCTGGGCCCCCACAACAGCTGCACCCCGTTGATCAAAATCAATCCCTGGAATCAGGTCCCTGGCAACAAGACTGCTGCACACAAGTGACTGTGATTTCTGGCAGTCGGGCCCCTGTGACTGCGGCACACAAATGAGCAAGACCTGGCAACACGAACGCTGGGCCCTTTTGAGAGTTGCACCTCCGTTGGTCAAACTCAAACCTAGGAATGACTGTCTGGCAGCACGAAGAGCCAGGCCCCTGCGAGGGCTCCATCCAATTGATCACAGTGGGGCCCTGGAGAGGTGTTCTGGCAACACGGAGAGCCAGACCCTTGTGTTTTTGCGCCCACTTGAGTAAAATCAAGCCCTGCTGTAGAGATCGGGGCTGGGGCTTCAGCTGGAGCTGGAGCTGGAGCTGACAGCTGAGCCACGGCTGGAGCTGGGCTGGAGCTGGGGCTGCAGCTGGACTTTGAACTGGAACTGGGCTGGAGTTTGGGCTGGCCTGGAGCTCGAGCATGGGCTGGAGCTGGGCTGGAGCTGGGGACGGAGGTGGGCGAGAGCTGGAGCTTCAACTGAAATTTAGCTGGAGTTGGGAGATGTCTCCACTGGCTCACCAGGGTGCATCAACTCATGCTACAAGGTCGAAGAACGTCGTGTACCCGAAAACCGTCGACCCTGGGCAGGCCTTCCGGGGCCCAGGGTCACTGCAAACTCTTCCCCAACCAGGCTGCAAAGGCATGTGCAGAAATCCTGGGCCCAGGACCGGCAACGCTGGACTGCGTTGGGCGGGCACTGGCGCGGAAGCAGGGGCGGTCATGCAGCAGAGGCTAAAGCAAACGCCGTCCTTCAGCATGTTCTTCAGGATTAACTTCTCAGACACTATCTTTCCGCCCTTGAAGATGACACCGCCTCCTTCGCCGAACCTGGCTGTCTCGTTTGTATGGAAGGTCCCGTTTTGCAGAAAAGTGAGCAGAGCAAGAGGGCACATACCACTTCTCGACCGCTCAACGCTGCTGCCTTTACCTGGAAGGCACAAATGTACGCGCCCGACACACACACACACACACACCGCTGCCAACTCGGGATATTCAATGCAAGCACGCGTGGCGTAGATGACTCGCAAACCATTTCCCCCGCCGTCAAAAATCACCAAAGTTGCAGGCGATGGTGGTGGGTGACGAGAACCGGGTATACATGACGCATGGAAAACCACATGTGCGTGTCATAGGATTTGACCTCGGAATGAGGCAGGCCCCGTAGGAGCTGAGTTTGGAATGAAATGAGCAGGACGGTGACTTGGCATGCGTTGTTTGAGAAACGGCCGCAGCAAAAGCATTGTCAAGACTTGCGGCACGATGAACAAGAGAAGCTCAATGTATGCCAAAGTACAGTGAGTATCCGAAGGATGATTAACAAAGAATGCAATAGCAAGAATGTAAGTGGGTGGCCGTGCCAGTGGCACAGCTGCGTTTCTGCGGGATGTGTTCAGGGGTGTGGTATGTGACTCCTTATGTCAGGCGAATCCGCAGCCCCTGTTCAACACTCCACTATGTGCTGCGCAACTCTACAGTGGGGACCTATCCACAAGAAACCTTCCACAAGAAACCCAACCCTGAGACCCCAGGATCTCCATGGATTTCTGGCGTGGACACGTCACGCTTCCAGTAGCAGAGCCATCGAAACCAAGAAACCCAGGGCACCCTGGAGGCGTGCAGGGTGTTTCTTGGCATGGGTCTCCACTGTATGGGACGCACAGAGACATACTAATACTATAGGTCCTCCTTGAAGGCGCGCGTCCGACCCGAATATCTATCATACCCGTTTTGTAGTACATTGTTTCCCGAGCAGTGTGGCCAGAAAGCGCTCGCCACGACGCACATACTATAAGACTTCTCGGTGCGCGCGTCGCCCCTGGGGGGGGGGCGGCGCACACATAGTAATCAGTATGTTGGGGTGACGCCGAACTGCACACTGGCTGCTGCTCGTCTACGGCTCCCCAGTTGTCGCCGGCTGCCTGGCCTCAGCCGGGGTGTCTTCCGAGGCATGGCTGACGTTGCCTTACGGGTGCGGCCGCCCACCCGCGCCCACCAAGGGGACCCCAACGCGCTCTCGTTCCCCATGGCCTGCCCGCCCAAAAAGGACGGCCACGGAAGGCAACGGAAGGCCTCGGGACGATCCCACAGCTCCCAGGAAGCCCCCAAAGACGAGCCAGTGAGAGCCCCAAGAGAGCCCGAGTACGCCACGACATACAATTAGCCCACATGTTTCTGGACATGCGACTCAAAATCTTCGAGTGCAGTTAGTTATGACCAACCCGAGAGGCCTCAAAAGGTCCCAAGACGCGGAACGCATCAAGGCGACCACAAGCTGATTATATCGAGACCCTCCAAACCAAATCGCTTGAACTGTCGAACCCAAAACGGGGCAGGTGGCCAACCGTAAGATGTCGCTAGTGACGTTTCAGAACACAGGCTCGCCTGCAACGCATGGCTCGTGAGTGGTGGCTAGCAAATCGTGGAAATTTTGAAATACTAGCACCGTGGAGTAACTCATGAAAACCAACCCTTCGCGAGCCACTGGTAGCAAATGTCGGTGAGATGTGTTTGTCAGCCGCAGCGAGTCCTCACCGCGTTCGGGGGCAGCCGAGGGAATCTCGGGACCGAATTGGGCACATCAGGTAAAGGAGGAGGAGGACAAACACGCGGAAAGGGAAGAAGCACGCTCAGAGCACGAAATCCTGGAAGGTGTGTGCCAGAGAACGGCGTGCACAGCGCAGACGTGGATGTGCTCACATGTACAACCTCCCCACCTCACGAGACCACATACTAATGTGCATACATGTTGCACATATGTACTAATTACTCAAGCGTATTATATAAGGACTGAGCATGCGCACAGAGAATAATAGCTAGCTCGCAGTCAGAACAGAGTGAATCACGCCCACGCGCTCCAGCGTATGGCATGAGTGAGTTCGTGGCAGCGCACAGTGAATCACGACTGTTTTGGACACGCAATAAATGAATGGTGGCTGAGTGGCGGGTCGAGAACAGTGAATACTTGATAGTGGGTAGCGCGCACCAGGCATCACTGGTGGTGTGCCGTACAGGATGACAACGACGTCCGAAACTGCCAACGAGATGGTAAACATGTAATTAATGGCGCGTGCAAAAAAAAACATTCACGTCATGTCATGGCAGGGCACTAGCCCAGCCACGCCACTCGTCGCTCGCCTGGCCCCATCAAAGACAGCCGCGGCACTCGTCTGGTCCAAGCGAAGACAGCTTGGCCTCGGCGGCCGCTTTGTCGTCGAACGTCATTACGGCCAAGCCAGCCTGTCGCGCTGAGGTGCAAGAGAAACGGCCGGCGCGATTGCTTCTAATCGTCGCCCAAAGACAAGACACCAGCACAACGCACGCGGAATGCAAGGGAACCAGCAGTCGCTTCTAATCTGGCACGTGCTGGCAACACGGGGAACATACGGGGCACGCGAACAGAGCTTTCCAGGCACGGGGCACGGGCCTTGTGCAGAAAACTTCGATTTTGTCACGAGGGTGGCACTGGGCTTGAGCAAGGGCAGGGCTTGGGAGAATGGGTTTTTGCATCTGAGCAGGGCTTCTTGATGATGGGAATCTGGAGCGTTTGGGGAGCGTGGCGCTGCAGTGTCCTTTGGACCTGCAGCCGGACGAGGCGCCCTCGGCGCGAGTGGGGGCGCTCGGCGACTCGAGGCCGAGACTGCGTCAGACTTCGGGGTTGGCTGAGCGATGGGCCCTGCGGCCGGTCGCCTGGCCGACAGAACCTGCAGGGTAAGCCCGGGGCTGGCCGGGGGAGTTCGGGCCCGGGTATGGCGAGCGCAGGAGAGCAGAAGGCTTCCTTCCGCGAGGGGGTAGCAGGAGGGAGGCGGGAGGAGGGAGGGGGAGAGAGCTACGAGGCGGGGAAAAGGTGGAACGCCCAGGTCTGGGAGGAGGGGCGGGGCCCTCGGAATCGCAGACACCTCGCGCCGGCTGGCTCGACCTCCTGGGCCACCTGTTCCCATGTCTGCCAGTGGGTGTCCGCCGTTGGAGCACTCTTGTTATGTTGCTCCCATCGTGTTCCAGGACCACGTCCCAGAAATCATTTCGAGCACCCAGGAGAGTATCGAAACAGTTTCAAACGAGTATCGCCTCCCAGGGGCTCGCTGCAGAAGGCCCCTCGACCCCGCTCGGCAGTGGCTCTCGAGGGAAACGTCGGTCGGGGAAACTTTTGACGATTCAGACCCAGACCTGTGGCAGCTCGATTCGTTCGCGTCGCCTGCCCCTGGGACTCTCGAGCCCGCCCCAGGGGCGGACTCTTCAGCCCGAGACGCCCGTGTACAATTCGCGGGCCCAGAAACAGCTGCCAGATTCCGAAAACAGTGAGGCACCTCTGGCACGATTTGTCTCGAGTCGGAACGGGGCGCGGCACGAGGGAGCAGGGTGCGCTCCTCCCTGGGGGCGTTGCCCCGGCTCTGGAACCTTCGCGGCTTCTCCCCGAACTCGGGCCAGCTCCCACACGCGCCCAGGCAACCCCCCAAAACGGCCTGCAAGCTCGACGCTGCCCCCCAAGCCCCTGCCCCTCATCGGCCCCTTCCCCCCAAATCCCCCTTCCCTCCCCGGAGAGGCGCGAACCAGAATCGAGCAGCATGCTGCCTCTCCGAGAGGCGCGACGCAGAATCGAACCAGAGGCGAGAGGATTCCCGCGAGGCCAGAATCGAAGAGCACGCTGCCACTCTCGAGCTCGCCTCTCGCGCCGTGGCGCCGCGCCGAGCGCTGCGATCCTCGCGCCCTCGCTCGGCGCTCCTCGAGCCGCGCACCCCTCTCGGGGCCCAGGCCGCGAGGCGCGGGGCGCGGCTGTGCCACGTCGCGCCCCTCCGGGGCGGCGGCCGGGTCTCCTCGCCCCGAGCTCCCGCCCAGGAGCAAGCAGGCACAGGCGGCAGCGCCGTGGAGGCTGAAGACCACAGTACACTTACTCCGGGCATGTCCCCCTACAGGCGGATTTTGAGGGACAAATCAAGAATTCACAAACAAATACTCCAAAATCCGCCGGCCCCCTTGTGGGGCCACCAGGCTGTAGGACCGTGATTCGCAGTTTCCTGTACCAGTCGTAGGTTGTAGTTTCCAGTGTTACAGTTCTGCTTCTTGCTGGTTACTGTAACTAGTTGACTTCTTGCTGGTTACTGTAACTAGTTGATTGACCGCGCGAGGGGGGGGAGGCCCAAACAAGATTTTTAGCGTCTCCTGGGCGCGTTGTCTGAATTGCTGGGGGGGCTCGAAATCGACACCCCTCACGCAGATCCGCGGGGTCAGGGTCCAAAAACACAGGGGATTTGCCACATTTCTGAAATTCGGTGCCACCCCTCACGCAGATCCGCGGGGTCAGGGTCCAAAAACACATGGGATTTGCCACATTTCTGAAATTCGGTGCCACCCCTCACGCAGATCCGCGGGGTCAGGGTCCAAAAACACATGGGATTTGCCACATTTCTGAAATTCGGTGCCACCCCTCACGCAGATCCGCGGGGTCAGGGTCCAAAAACACAGGGGATTTGCCACATTTCTGAAATTCGGTGCCACCCCTCACGCAGATCCGCGGGGTCAGGGTCCAAAAACACATGGGATTTGCCACATTTCTGAAATTCGGTGCCACCCCTCACGCAGATCCGCGGGGTCAGGGTCCAAAAACACAGGGGATTTGCCACATTTCTGAAATTCGGTGCCACCCCTCACGCACATCCATCGCAAGGCGTGGTAACCCAAACTGCGAGTACTCCCTCGGCCCTTTAATCCCAAGGTGTGGTAACCAAGCTCGTAAACCATACACGTCTTACCAATCGCCCTGTGTGGTAACCCCTCTTGTGATCAGTTGGTTTTGCCGATTGCGAATCGGCCTCGCATGAAGTTCCGATACTGCTGCACGACAGCGCCAAAGCCTCATGACTTAGCTCTTCCATGGCCCATTCTCCGAGAGAGGCGGCCGGCGGCAGGGGGCGAAGCCCTTACGGATAATCAGAACAGATGCTCAACCAAATAATTCCCAGACTATTCTTACTTTTTTTGAATATCCCTCCTGTAGAGGGACACGCCCGACTTCACAGTACACCCAACGTCCGCGCGAGGCGCGAAGAGCCACAGTCCTCGCGCTCTGGAGAGAAAAACTGTGCTCCCTCGCCCAGGGCGGGAAATGCGAAGCGCGACTGTCTTCGCAACCGTGCGGGTGAATTTCGAGGACCATTCGTCACCTCAATTGCAACTGCATCCGCGACCTCCACACCCTCTCGTAAGGTTTTTGAAAGATTTTCGCGTTCTGGCCGGTTTGGCTTCCCGACGCTCCCAGACGGCCATACAGGCACCCGAAACCGCCCCAAGACTGCCCTGAGGCCTCCAAAAGAGCCCCAAAACGGCCCAACAGGGCCCCAAGACGGCCCAAGAGATGCCAAAAACGGCCCAAGAGGGCCCCAAGACGGCCCCCAAAGGCGCAAAAAAACCTAAGAGGCCCCGAAGAGGCGCCCAAACTGCCTCCAAAGAGGCCCCCCGCCCGAGAGGCCTCCCACGAGATCCCAGCGAACATCCATTTGGCTTCATACCCACAACCCATGCACGGTGGCGGGATGGGCCGAAAGCCATAAAATCCGCCGCCCCCTGCTTGCAGGGGTGCACGGCGTGCTGGATGTTTCAGTTTTGGTTTTGGTTCTTTTTCTAAAAGAACTCCCCAGTGGGCTTCGGCCCGTCCCACCGGCCACCCGTAATTTTCCCAAAATCCGTCTGTCAATGCCTTTGTTGCCCCAACTTGGCCCAAGATGGCCTCCAAGACGGCCAAGATGGCCCAAGATGGCCTCCAAGATGCCTCCCAGACGGCCACGATGGCCTCCAAGACGGGTAAGATGGCTCCAAGATGCCTCCAAGACGGCCCAAGATGCCCTCCAAGACGGCCAAGATGGCCCCAAGATGCCTCCAAGATGGCCCACGAGGCCTCCAAGACGTTCTCCAGGAGAGCCCGAAGAGGCCAAAATCATTGGGTTTCTGTAGGTTTTTGAAGGTTTGTTGCGTTTTCATCTTTTCGGCCTTCCGACGGCCCAAGAGGTCCCCAAGATCGCCCAAGAGGCCTCCAAGAAGGCCCTATGACGGCCCAAGGGCCCCCCAAGACGGCCCCAAGAACGCCCCAAGACGGCCCAAGAGGCCTCCAAGACGCCCAACATGGCCTCCAAGACGGCCCTGAAGCGCCCCAAGAGGGCCCCAAGACGGCCCAGAGAGGCCCCCAAGACGGCTCCAGACGGCGTCAGACGGACCAGGAACGCCCTAAGACGGCCAAAGAGACCCCCAGGAAGCCCCCAAAGGCCCCCAAGAGGCCCAAGGAGGCCCCCAAGATGCCTCCAAGAGGCCTCGAAGAGGCCCCCAAGAAGCCCCAACAGACCCCAAGGGTGCCCCAAGAGACTCCTAACAACCCTCATCCTCCTACTCTATTTCTTCCTCTTCCTCTTCCTGTTCATAATCATTCTCTCCCATGTGTTCCCCGAAAGCTTTCCAAACCGACTCGGGGAACTCATGGTCCGATAGCTTGGCCAAGCTCTAGTCCAACTTTCGGCCACATCGGCGTTTCCAAAAAGGCAGGGGGCGGCGGTGATTCGCCGTAGGCGTCTTCGATCCGCCGCCCCCTGTGTCTTGCCACAGGGGTGCACGGCGTGCTGGATGTTTCAGGTTTTGGTTTTGGTTCTTTTTCTAAAAGAACTCCCCAGTGGGCTTCGGCCCGTCCCGCCGGCCACCCGTAATTTTCCCAAAATCCATCTGTCAATGCCTTTGTTGCCCCAACTTGGCCCAAGATGGCCTCCAAGACGGCCAAGATGGCCCAAGATGGCCTCCAAGATGCCTCCCAGACGGCCAAGATGGCCTCCAAGACGGGTAAGATGGCTCCAAGATGCCTCCAAGACGGCCCAAGATGCCCTCCAAGACGGCCAAGATGGCCCCAAGATGCCTCCAAGATGGCCCAAGAGGCCTCCAAGACGTTCTCCAGGAGAGCCCGAAGAGGCCAAAATCATTGGTTTTCCTTAGGTTTTTGAAGGTTTTTTGCGTTTTCTTCTTTTCGGCCTTCCGACGGCCCAAGAGGCCCCCAAGATCGCCCAAGAGGCCTCCAAGAAGGCCCTATGACGGCCCAAGGGCCCCCCAAGACGGCCCCAAGAGCGCCCCAAGACGGCCCAAGAGGCCTCCAAGACGCCCAACATGGCCTCCAAGACGGCCCTGAAGCGCCCCAAGAGGGCCCCAAGACGGCCCAGAGAGGCCCCCAAGACGGCTCCAGACGGCGTCAGACGGACCAGGAACGCCCTA